ACTTTCAGTTCTTAATATCAACCATTGTATCTTCCAGGATATTGCTTTGATCTTATGCAAGTTGAATGTTTACGCTGTGTTATTCAATTTATTCTTAAGTTACTGCAGAATTTTGTTATTTTAAAGCTTGTTAACTCTGGTATTTTCCTTTTAGGTGGCTGTATTATTGAGTTAAGGGCTCCATCTTTTCTCCGCCGCAAACCACGAGTTGCACCTTCGCCCTCTTCACTAGAACAAGCTGCTTTAGCATCCTCTTTGGCCCCTGTGCCTATTCCCACGCCCCCCGTGACTCCTGCTCGCCGTGGTAGAGCTGGCCGTCGAGGGCGAAGGGCCCGTTCTGGAACTGCCACACCTGCCTCTCCACCAGCGCCCCCTCCTCCGCCCCCACCACAACCACCTGTTGCTTCATGGTGCCCTTTGATTTTGCCCCATCCAGAGACTATAGAAGCCGCCCGGCGGCTGGCCGAAGAGAGGCGTAGTAGCATCGATCTTGGTGTCGACGTGCCTCAGCCACTTCATCATTGTCCTCCCCCATGGCTCACTCTCCTACCTCGTGCCTGTGTAGCCGAGTTTGTCGTGAGTTTAGAAAGTATAAAGCCGATTATATCGTCCCAGTAACTTCTCTTACGAACAAAAATATAAAATGTACACCATATTTCGTTTAAGGTGATGAAGGACTGGTAATAGAATTTTCCCACAGTGACATAAATAGAGCTGACGTTTTCATTGAATTTCACAGCCTTGCTTTCATAAAAGTTGTTCTCATCCAAGATGGACTGCAGTTTCGACCTCGCCCCACCCGACAGGAGTCGAACTGTGACAGCGCAGCATTTGATTTTGACAAGTTAACCACTCAGCCAGATTGCCAAGAGTGCCCTTGAGTCAGGGTAGATGTGAATTTCAAGGAAGGCCAGGCTTTTTCCATATCACATTCTTTGGTGGGATTGTCAATTAACTGTCACGGTTAGACTCCGGGGGGTATTGATAAGACCTAGGCGAGGTCGAAACTACAGTCCACTCTGGATGCGAACAACTTTTTGGAAAGCAAAGCTATGTGAAATTTAATAGAAACGCGAGGTTTACTCCTGTCATTATGAGAAAATTCTACTACCAGTCCTTTATCACCTTAAACGAAATAGTGTGAATACATCTCATATAGCTGATTTACTGGTAGTCTCGAAACTGTCTATATGCGAAATATTAGAAAAGTTTGTTTCTTCAGCATATTTTCGTAGCATGTTTTTTGCTTACTTTGAATCTATGCCTTATTGAATCATTTTTAAAGTTTTAGATGTGAAGGCCACTACGGTCTTGGATCTGGTCGCAGTCTTCTACATCACAATTTGATCTTAGTGACAGAAAGACTTTGATGAACATACCTAGTTCTCTGCCATTGTATTCTTGATTATTTTTAGCATCGGACTCTTGACTAAGTACATTCTCAT